AAAAAAAAAAAACAACAGAGATGAAACCAGTCTTTTCTGCAAAACCAGCCTTTTCTGGAAAACCAGCCTTTTCCCCCATTCTGTGTCATTTGTTGTATGAGTATTCCAAAATTCTAGTTTTGAAAGGTACTTCTAAACTGGCAATTCCAGCCTTTTTTTGTTCTTACTATACAAAGCAATATATGCCCAAAATAGAACTATAAAGAGGAATGCAGTGAATTAGAGTGCCATTTTTTTGTCTGACAGTTGTTTTTTAAAAGCTAAATTCATGGCGTAAGAGAAAAAAGATATGGGTGATTTCAGACCTGCACTGTTTTCTCCCCTGAAAAGCAAGAATGGGGGGAGCAGAGTCTTTAGGTTCTGATCAAACACGAACTGACATCAATGATACCATGAAATCCAGCCCCAGAGTGAGACCCTTAATGGGAAGGCTCCCCCTAAGCAAGACGCACAGGGAAAAAGAAGATAGGGCACAGACAAAAGCAGCATCTGAAGGGAAAGCTGCGAATTCTCTTGTAGCTAAGGAAATTGAAATCTGCCCGATGTCTCCTCTTAACGTTTTGCAGAAACTAATTTGGAGAAAATAGCACTTTCTGTAGTTCAATAATTAAAAAGGTAGACTATAAAATGATACTACAAAAGTATCTAAAATGTTTAAGGTAATATTCAAACAGAAAACTTTTATTTTGCAGTTTATTAGCTTGAGTATAACTTTTTATAACGAACATTGAAATGAATGTTAAGAGAAACTTACCCCATAGACCAGCTCACCCACCATGCCATTCCATATTTTAGTCTCAGGGTCCCTAGCTCCATATTTCCCATCTCCAACAATTGACAGTTTGTACTTTATTCCAACATGTTTTGCTATTTCAGAAGCTAAGTCTACACAATATCCTTCATATCTCTCATTCCCTTCTAGTTGTTCATGGTTTTTCTTATACATTACATATGGTGATTCCTTTGAAACAAAAGTAAAGATCAAAAGTCTATGAATGTAAAATATGGCTTTCAAACATACAAAAAGAGAGCTGTTATTATCCTTACTTCATATCACTGTAAAATATTTTCAACATTTCTGACTTTAGTACAGGAATTAGAAAATGGATATTTGTAGTTTAAAAATCCTTGGCTTAATCCTGCAGTCACATACGCTATTATCTTTAATGCTAGTACAGTATCACTGAAGATACCAGAACTATTCACTTCAGCAAAATTACACTTTTGTTTGCAGGATTAGGCCTAAATTTTTAGGCAATCAGACAAGCACATAACATCATTGCAGTAATACAATTTTTAGTATATAAAGAACTGACACAATCAACAACTGTACCCACTGAAATTATTTGTTAATGCCCACTGGCCCAGACTGGGGCTCTGATGGAGGTATTTTCAAAGTAGCCTAAGGGAAGTTAGGCTAAAATGTTCAGCAGCAATCTTGGTCCCTAAATTCCCTTAGCCTTCTTGGAAAATTTCATCTGAAATGCTAATTATATCTTGCTAAATTCATAGGAGGATAAAATACACCACTTCAAGAAATAGCACATAATTGGCTCATGCTTAGTAGAGCTGTAACAGGCAGAACAGTCACAAGAATACTGCACACAGCAATACTGTACAGAACATATATGTTAGAGACATTCAAACCGACACAGGTGCTGCTGTTTGCAGGACACAAACAGAATTAGTCTTTTGGAGCTGCACAGATAAAGATCACTTTATATCTAGTCTTAAAATATACCTGCAGCCTTTCTAGTTCTCCACAGGCTTCCTGATACCACCCTTACTCAAGCCTACAGGGGCTGAGTTTACCTGAGCTCCACCTGAGCGAGGGGTGCAAGGTCTGAACTTACAGCAGAAAGATCCTGTAATCATTTACATGCATGCATAGCTTTACTCACATGAGGAGCTCCACTGAGTTCAAAGAGCTGAGAAGCTGGAGGATACACTGTTGGATTCAGTGGGACTCCTCCTGTCAGTAAACTTTTTGATGCACAATAAAGTGATACACATTAAAGAGTCAAGGCCTCAATACATCTCTGCACATTGCTAAGCTTTTCAGCCGCTTGAAGTCAACATTGTGCCTTCTGGCCAGGCATCTAACCCACCTCTGGAGCTATGCATCTTATTTCCTAAACACAAGCAAACTAAGAATGCAAAACTTACCAAGATGGTAGTGACTACTATAGTTCTGTTCTCCACAGACGAAGTGTCATTAGAGGGTAGCAGGTCTAATGCTGGCACAAATCTTTCATATTCGTTCCAATAACCAGCCTATAGAAGTGGAGATTATGTATGTTTACAAGGACTGTAGTACATGAGCTTGATAACAAGAACTATTAAAACACATGGTTGAAAAGCATTGATTCTTTTATTGCCATTATACAAGTACACTGGTTTCTTTAAAGGAGTAATATTTCCAAGCCCATGTAGAAATAATTACAAGTCAAATGTAATCAAAAATGCACAATTAATTTTCCCTATATAAATTCACACGGTTCATGGTGCCTCTGGAATAAATTATTGCATTTCTACAAATAAGCAAAACAACAACAAAAAAATATTGCATAGCCTAAACTCCTTTGATTTTGAATTTTTTTCCGATTCACCCATATTCCGCTGCAGACCAGGCAGTGAGCACAGTACCTGTACGCATGCCTGAGCCAGCTTTATCACAGACTGCACACATACTGCTAGCAATGCACACACAGGAGCAGGAGCTTCCTTATGGATTATAAGACCCTGCCAGTGCATGAAATGACTATTTGTGAGCTCACCTGTACTGACGTTCATGGTGCTGTGGCTATACTGGCACTTGCTATTAAACTGGCTCTTTTATTTCTGTACAATGCAGCTGTAACACTGCACTGTAAACCTAGCTGAATGGCCAGGTCATCTCCAGAGGTATTTTGTTACTAAATATGTGCAGAAGAGTTTAAGGAGTCTGAATAGAGATTAAGCAGGGTCAGGTGCCAAACGCCAGGTGGAATCAGGGGGATTTATGTGCCCAGCCCACTCAGGCTCTTTTCTTGGTCCTCCTGAGAGGAGGATCCTGAGCCGGAGAGGCTGTTTACCTAATTATTTTTGAAAATTTGGCCTAAATTATTTTTGTAAGATGGATCTAGGCAACTATCCCACTTAGGATCTATATTTGGTATAGGAGACAAAAGAATGAAGTGCAAATCCTAATTAAAACAACAACAACAAAAAAGATTTTCTGCTAATTTCAAGATGTTTCTAAAATATATTAGCTTCACCTTGACTATTGCTCTGACATCTGTTATGGAGAGGATGGGAAAGATCAAAAGGAAATTAGGAAAAAGGGCTGAACAGAGGGACACGATGCTGGACAGAGAGACCTTTGGCAGTGGAAAATCTCCAGAAGGCTTTTACTGGAAAAGGAGGTAAGGCTTGAAGTTGACCTTCACATAAGAGATTTGAACAAAGAAGAAAACAGAAGGCGGTTCCTGGACTAGGGGAGAGAGCAAGAAGAGAGGGATTCCTCAGGATCCTGTTTTTACAATGGTTGTGTAGTATTTTTGATTTTTACTAGTTTGTTGGAATAAACATTTCTGAAGAAGCAAAACTGGATGTGTATTTTGAAACTCACCTTTCGTGAACCAGAGGCTTTCACTTCATACACATCAATTGTATAATTTGTTCTCCGACCATAGGTGTCAAACTGGATGTTCCCTGTCATTCCTTGAACTTGCACCTTAAGGGGATAACCAACAAAACAAAACAAAA